CCGGTGTCTGGGCCTGGTGAGGTTTCCCGTGTTGAGTCAAATTAAGCCGCAGGCTCCACTCCTGGTGGTGCCCTTCCGTCAATTCCTTTAAGTTTCAGCTTTGCAACCATACTTCCCCCGGAACCCAAAAGCTTTGGTTTCCCGGAAGCTGCCCGCCGAGTCATCGGAGGAACTTCGGCGGATCGCTAGCTGGCATCGTTTATGGTTAGAACTAGGGCGGTATCTGATCGCCTTCGAACCTCTAACTTTCGTTCTTGATTAATGAATGAGGGAGAGAATGAGAGCGTTGCGGAAGTGAGTGAGATAGCGTGTATGAGAGTAATTGGTGCGAGACTCCGTAAATTCCTGTTTACGGAGACGAACAAAATTTCAAAGAGTGCGAGTGAGAAAATACTGGACATTGTGGGAGAATATGAGGAACAGATGATGAAAATGTTGTGCAAAAATGAGAGAATACAGGGGAAACTGGATGAGTGTATGCGTCGAGCGAGTCGGGATTTAGCCTACGGCGGAAGTGGAATGAGCTATGCGAGCGTGAGTGCGAAAAATGTTGAAAAGAGCGTGATTGAAAAGGTACAGGAAGTGAATGTGAAAACGAGTGAAAACGAAAGAGAAGAGTTATGCGGTAATAGTGAGAGCGGATGATGCAAGTGCGAATGTGACAAGTGAGGAAGTAAAGGAGAGAATGATGAAGCATGTGAGCAAGTCACTGAATGTGCGTGTGAAAGCGGTGAGGAAAGTGAGGAATGGAGGTGTAGCGATTGAGACGATGAGCGAGAGTGAGTTGAAAAGAATAAGAGAGTGTGGTCAGTTTAAGAATGCTGGCCTAAAGGTTGAGCTGCCTCGCAAGATAGGCCCAAAGATCATCTTGTACGATGTGCCGAATGATATGGCGAGTGAAGTGTTAATGAGAGAAATGTATGAGAGGAGCTTGAAAGGGCGAGTGGATGAGAGAGTATTTATGGAACGTGTGCGTGTTGTGAGTAGGAATGCGAAGAAAGATGCAACCTGCGGAAATGTGATATTAGAAGTTACGAGTGCAATAAGAAATGTGCTCTGTAGTGACGGACGAGTGTTTGTGCATTGGAAGGCCTTTAGGGTGAAAGAGTTTTTCAGTGTGCTGAGGTGCCACAAGTGCTTCGCATTTGGGCACATGATGCGGCAATGCACCGAAAAGGAAAGACTGTGCCAAAAATGTGGATGTGTAGGACACATGATGAGAGATTGTAAAAAGGAAAGTGTGTGTAGAAACTGTAAGCTGAAAGGGAGCAAATGTGATCACTCGGTTCTGTCCGAAGTGTGTCCGGAATACGTGAGAGCGTTAGAGAGAGAGAAAGCGAGAATAAATGACGAATGAATGGTGCGTGAATGTGGTGCAGTATAACTGCCAGAGAGCGTATGCAATTATGTGTGATCTGGGTGAGATGATGCGCGAACGTCGAGTGAGTGTAGCACTGCTGCAAGAACCGTATGAAAGGCATGGACGTGTGGTGGGCTTGCCCATAGGTATGGATGTGATTGTGTGCGAAAGTGGGACGGTGAAAGCAGCAGTGGTGGTAAATGACTCTAGGTTAGACGTGATGTGCGTGAGAGAGTGTACGAATAAGCTTGGAGTGAGTGTGTGGTTGAAGGGGGACTTTGGCGAAATGTATGTGGTGTCCATGTATTGCCAGTATGGTAAGTGTATCGAGCCGTACTTGGCGTACATGGACAGAGTATGTGAGACGGCCGGGAGAAAGCGTCTGCTGATAGGTATGGATGCGAATGCCGTCTCTCCCTTGTGGTATAGCAAGGGTGGAGGCAGCAGAGAGAGTGAAGCGCGTGGTAGAGTGATTGAGGAATGGATGATTGCGAGCGGGATGAATGTTGTTGAATGAGCCAAGCGAGTTTTACTCGTTCAGCGGGCCGAATGGGGAGAGTGACATCGATGTCACTTTCGTGAACGGCGTGAATGGAGGGTGCCGGTATGAGTGGGAAGTAAAGCCGACTGGGGAGTGAGTGACCATAACGTATTGTTAATACGGATGGTACACAGAGAGAATGTAGGTACGAATGAGGGCATGCGTAGATGGGTGTGCAAGGACGTAGACTGGGAAGGATATATGTGTGATATGCGAGAGAGTGCGTTAGAGGATGCAGCGAGCGCCATAGACGAAGCGGATGCGCAGAGCTGTGTAGAGCGAATGATGAAATGGATCCATAGTGCGAATGATCGATGGATGAAGAGGGTAAACCTGTGTATGCTAGGAAGCTTGTGTGGTGGACGGATGAGCTTGAGAAACTGAAGAAGGCTGTAGGAAGGAGCAGACGTGCCTACCAGCGTGCGAGAAAGAGGAATGGAAGCAGAGTGGAAGAAAGAATGAATGAATATAAGTATGTTTTGCGGGAGTATAAGGAGGAAATGCGAAGAGTGAAAGAGGAAAATTGGAAGCGATTTGTGTGCGTGACTGGGAAGAGGGATCCATGGAGCGATGTATATAAGGTGTGCATGGGAAAGCGTGATAGGGTAAGATTAAGTGGCATAAAAGTGGGTGATAGAGTGACGAGTACATGGAAAGAAAGCGCGGATGAGCTAATGAAGAGATTCTTCCCGGCAGCAAGGACGAACGTGGCGATAGACGCCAGGGGAGACGTGAGGGAGGAAGAAAAGCAGTTTGAATGGAGCGAAGTGGATGTGGCAGTGAGATCGATGAAAGTGGGTAAGGCACCTGGTATGGATGGTGTGAGTGCTGAGATGTTGCGAGCGATTTGGCGTGCTGTCCCGGTATGGATGAAAAGAATGTATGATGTATGTCTGAATACAGCGTGTTTCCCCCCGGCGTGGAAGACTGCGCGGGTGGTAGTGTTATTGAAGTCTCCCGATAAACCTAGGTCGGACCCTGGGTCTTATAGGCCCATTTGACTGCTGTCCGTGCTGGGGAAAGTGTTGGAGCGAATGATGGTTGGAAGACTCGAGCGAACGATGGGTGGAAGAATGTGTGACGCCCAGTACGGATTCGTAAGGAATCGGTCGACCGAGGATGCATGGAATCGAGTGCATGACTGGGTGAATGGGTCGGAGAGAAAGTATGTGTTAGGAGTGTTCGTGGACTTCAAAGGAGCGTTTGATAACCTAGAGTGGGAATGTGTGATCGAGAAATTGCGTGAGGTTGAATGTGAAGAAATTGAATTATGGAAGAGCTATTTTAGCGGCAGGCGTGTATGCATGATGGGTGCGTGTGACACAGTGTGGAAAGACGTAAAGCGTGGCTGCCCGCAGGGCTCCATCTGTGATCCATTTATATGGAACCTAATGATGGATGAACTGTTGTGGCGGCTGCGTGAGAGTGAATGTAAAGTGGTTGCGTACGCGGATGACTTGTTGTTGGTCGTGGAAGGACAGAGCCGAGCGGAGTTGGAGAGAAAGGGTACTAAGTGGATGAGAATGGTGTACGAATGGGGAGTGAAAGTAGGTGTGAGTGTGTCTGAGAACAAGACTGTGATGATGTTGATGAAAGGTAGTATGGCTGGGACGAGGCCTCCCAATGTACGAGTGAATGATAGATGCGTGAGGTATGCGAGGAGCGTGAAATATCTGGGTGTTTGTGTGAGTAAAAGGATGAACTACAGGTTGCATCTGGAGTGTCTGAGAAAGAAATGTATGAATGTGGTGGGAAAATTAAGACGCGTGTTGAGAAGTGAGTGGGGTTTGCGAAAGAAAGCTGTGACTGTGTTGTATAAAGGTCTGTTCATGTCGTGTGTGATGTATGGAGCGAGTGTATGGTATGGAGTGATGAGATTTGAATATGCGAGGGAGCTCATAAATAGGTGCCAGCGAGTGGTGTTGAGTGCGTGTCTGAATGTATGTAGAACGGTCTCCACGGCGGCCATGCAAGTCCTTATGGGTGGCTTGCCGTGGGACCTGGAGTGCGTGAGAAGAGGAGTGTTGTATAAGGTGAGAAAGGGAATTAGTATGAGTGAGTATGATGTAGTGAATGATAGTGACTTGCGTGAGAGAGGTGTGGAAGGATGTATGGAATTGGTGAGTGAAAGGCTGTATGAGATGTGGCAGAATAGATGGAATAAGTGCGAGAAAGGAAGAGTGACGTATGAATTTATAAAGAATGTAAGGTTCGCGGGTGAGTGCCGAGAGTTCGAGCCTAGCTTGAGCCTGGGCTATATCCTGACAGGGCATGGAAGTTTGAATGAATTCCTGTATAAGCGTGGTCTGTCTGAGAGTGAGAGCTGTGCATGCGGAGCGGAGAGAGAGAATTAAAAGCATGTGTTGGTTGAGTGTCCAATGTATGGTGATGTGAGGAACCTGAGTGAGTGGGGTGTGATTGTGCGAGAGAATGGCAGTGTGGATGTGAGTCGCATGTTGGAATGTAAGGAAAGGTATGAAAGTGTTGGTTGTATGCGAAGATTGTATTTCAGAGAAGGAGGGCGATGCTGAAAGGAGGATAAGAGAAGCCGATGTTCCCGGGACATAGGCCGACCACTGCCTGGGAGGTGTAGGCCTCCGAAAGCTGGGAGTGGTCTCGGCCACGAAGATCCAACCAGTGATCTTGACTCTTACCACGGGAGTCGGGGAAGCCCAGGGGGATTCATTGGGATGACTGGTTTGTTCACATTATAGTTGACAAATTAGATTCATCAACGCGCCTCCTGTGGGAGTCGTCACAGGAGTCGAGTTCGGACTTTCCATCCTTCACCGAGCTGAAAACCTTTCTCCTTACCCGAGCTCGCGCCCTGGAAGCGGCTCACCCGCGTTCAACAGCGATAACAAGCGAAACAAAGGGAGGCAAACGCAACGGACGAAAAACCGATGTATCGTCACATTCCTCCAGCACTAGAGAGGGATCTCAGTGTCCACTCTGCAAGGCACGCCATCCGCTCCGATCGTGTGACAAGTTTAAAACCTTCTCCGTAGAACAACGTCGAGACCAAGCGAGAAGGAGTAAAGCCTGCTTTAACTGCCTAGGCCACAACCACGCAGCAGCGGCCTGTCCGTCTATCAACCGATGCCGGCACTGCCGGGAGAAGCATCACTCACTCCTGCACATCGGGTAATACAGTCAGCCGCTCCAACGATACCTCAAGACTCAAATGCGGCCATCACCTCATTAGAAAAGTCCGTACATCAAGCTGATGCAACGGCAGTAGCCGCCTTGGCAAGCACTACGAATAACACGGTTCTTCTTGCGACCGCCATGATAAAACTGATCTCGCATTCGGGTCGTACGGTTAAGGTGCGAGCATTGTTAGATTCCGGGTCTGAAGCCTCGTTTGTATCAGAACGCGTCGCCCAACAGCTCCAACTACGCCGCCGGAGAGTGAACGTGACGGTCTCCGGCCTGCAGGGGGTAACAACAGGGAGAGTGACTCATGCAGTATCTCTCATGATCGGAAGCGAACTGTCCTCGACCCTACGGATCGCTATACCTACTGCTTTAGTCATGTCCAAACTTACTCCATTTACTCCTGGCAAACAGGTTCACAAAGGGCACTGGCCTCACCTACGTGGCATCCAGCTGGCAGACCCAAACTACGACAAACCAGCCTCGGTAGACGCGGTGCTCGGAGCCGACGTTTACGGAATGCTAATCGAGAGTGGAGTTAAACACGGACAACCCGGAGAGCCGTATGCTCACTCTACCGTCTTTGGCTGGGTATTGATGGGCGCAATTGGACATACGAACTATCCGCCCGGAATTGACATCGCAAGTCACCATGTAACCATTGAACAGGATCTGCGACAACAACTACAGCGGTTTTGGGAGCTAGAAGAGGTGTCTGGGGAGTGCCCACTCACCCCGGACGAAGCTTATTGTGAGAGGCTGTTCGCAACGACCCACACTCGTGACTCAGATGGACGTTATGTCGTTCGCCTACCCCGTAAGCAAGAGCCCTCGTTAGAGCTCGGAGATTCAAGGTGCGGGGCACTGCGTTTACTCTTGGCAGCCGAGAGTCGACTACGGAGAAACCCTTCACTCTACACCAGTCATACGTCGAGTTCTTGAACGATTATTCTGAACTCGGTCACATGGAACCGGTGCCAGAAGCAGAAATTAAGGGCAACGGTTCATACTACCTGCCACATCATGCAGTGGTTAAGACAGCTGATCCAAGCGGAAAAATCCGGGTAGTTTTTAACGCTTCCTTTCGAACGAGCACAGGAGCATCTCTGAATGATCTCCTGCTGCCCGGCCCAAAACTTCAAGCAGAACTTTGGTTAATACTAACTAGATGGCGGTTATTTCAAGTTGCCTTCACCACGGACATTGTCAAAATGTTTAGACAAGTTCGGATTAATCGAGAGGATGCCGATCTTCAGAGGATAGTATGGCGGGCGGACGCCGAGTCAGAGGTTCGAGACTTTAGACTCGTCACCGTCACCTACGGTACGACACCGGCTCCGTATTTGGCAATCAGAACCTTGCTCCAATTGGCTGAAGATGAAGAGTCCCGGTTCCCTCAAGGAGCATCAGCAATCCGCAACCACACTTACGTAGATGACATACTAGCTGGCGCCAACACTCTTGCAGACGCCCTGGAACTCAAACTTCAACTGGAAGGCCTACTCCAAGCAGGAGGGCTCCATCTAAGTAAATGGGCTGCTACTCAAGCAACGCTCTGTCCTGAGGGGGATCAGGGGCAACGATTTATTGCAACTAACGACAATGTGGGTGCCCTAGGCATCCTTTGGACTCCTACCAAGGACACACTTGGCCTAAAGGCGGTCCCGTCATTTGATGTGACGACACAACCAACAAAACGCTCCATACTTTCCTTCGTGGCTAAGCGCTATTTGATCCCGCAGGCTGGGCGGCTCCTGTAATAGTAGTAGCCAAAATATTAATACAAGATCTTGGATGGCGGGTTTAAAACTGGGACCAAGAATTGCCCCGGAGTTACAGACTTGTTGGTTGAAATACATTACCCGCTTACCTGAACTGAATCTATTACAGATACCTCGGTGGACCGGTATTCGCACGCCAATGGAACTTCATGCCTTCTCGGACGCCTCTGAAAAGACCTATGCCGCTGCGATTTACCTGCGAGGGCTCGGGCCGCACGGGGACATTGAAGTGTCTCTCCTGCTTGCTAAGACCAAGATCACTCCGATTAAACCAGTCTCCATACCTAGACTTGAGTTGTGCGGTGCTCTACTAGCCGCCCGGCTATTGTGTCGGCTCACTAAACATCTGAAATTGGAGAGCTGCCCTCTATACGCATGGACTGACGCAAGGGTGGTACTTGCATGGCTACGAGCACATCCCTCACGTTGGACACCTTTCGTAGCCAACCGGGTGGCTGCCATACAAGAATTAATGCCGGGGAATCATTGGCACTATGTTGCTACGTCAGAAAACCCTGCAGATCTAGCTACACGGGGCATCTCGCCATCGGAGCTGAGAGACCGACGCCTTTGGTGGTCGGGACCCCCATGGTTGGGATCCCCGTCAAGTGACTGGCCAAGTGAAAGTGATGCTCGACAGGAAGTAACCGAGGAGCGGCGCACACACGCTACCACTCTTACTACTGATAAAATCGACAATGATGTCCTTACACGATTCTCATCATTTTCTAAATTAATTAGAGTTTCAGCATACTGCCTCAGGCTGCTACGAGACGTTGAACGACCCCACGCCGTTCATCTCACTGCAGATGAACTGGCACGCTGTCGATTGCGCTGGTGTCGCATCGCTCAGCACCAGGACTTTGCGGAGGAGATCAAGGTCCTCTCCCGCGGCTCCCAGCTGGCCCGTCGATCCCCACTACTGTCGCTACGGCCCTTCCAAGGACAGGATGGGCTGATAAGAGTAGGCGGCAGACTTGCTCACGCACCGTTGGCCTTTGCCGAAAAACCCCCGATTGTTCTCGCCAAAGAGAACCATCTTTCGTTACTCCTCGTGCGCGATGCACACGAAAGAACCCTCCACGGCGGTCCGCAGCTCACGAGGAGCGTGCTCTCTCGCCGTTACTGGATTTTGCAAGCCAACTCGCTAATTAGATCCGTTGTAAAACAATGTGTAAAATGTGCTCGTTTCAGGGAACCACTTCTCAACAACAGATGGGCCATCTACCAGCGGATCGAGTCAGACCGGCCCGACCGTTCTGGACCACTGGCGTGGATTACGCTGGACCCATCAAGCTTCGAATTTCCAAGGGCCGCGGATGCAAAGGCTACAAAGGATATATCTGCCTATTCATTTGCATGGTCACCAGAGCCGTGCATTTGGAAGCCGTATCGGATCTCACCTCTAGCTCATTCCTGGCCGCTTTTAGGCGTTTTGTGGCAAGGAGAGGCCGTTGTGCGTACCTGACTAGCGACAACGGTACCAATTTCCGAGGGGCCGAACGAGAGTTGCGGGACCTATTCAGCGCCGCTGCCGATTTTTACAAGGATTGTAAAGCCCAGCTGGCTCAAGACAGCACGGAATGGGCTTTTATCCCTCCCTCTGCCCCGCACTTCGGCGGACTCTGGGAGGCAGGCGTCAAGGCCACTAAGTACCATCTCCGACGCGTCTTAGGAGATCAAATACTTACCTACGAAGAATTGACCACATTACTTTGTCAAATCGAGGCGTGCCTCAATTCAAGACCGCTCTATCCGTTAAGCAATGATCCAAACGATTATTCTGCGATCACCCCTGGGCACTTCCTTATAGGAGAGAGCCCAGTCAATGTACCGGAACCGCCCACCCTGACGGATACCCATGGGAGGGCTAACTCTAGGTCTATTTTGATTACTAATCTACGTGATCATTTTTGGAACAGGTGGTCGCGAGAATACCTTCACCATCTACAACAATTGGGTAAATGGCGGCAACGCTCGGAAAATCTACAGCCAGGCGCCCTGGTTCTCATCAAGGACGACCTCTTGCCACCAGCCAAATGGTCCTTGGGACGGATCAGCGAGGTTCACCCCGGGGACGACGGAATTGTACGCGTGGTCACGGTGGAGACGTCAACTTCAGCTCTCCGCCGCCCTATCACCAAGATCTGCCCACTTCCCATCAAACCTGCAGACCTGACCGCGAACACTCAGGAGAGCAACCTAATTAAGATATCTAAAACCCAGACATCTCACGGCGGGCGGCGGGTCTCGGACCAGCGCCTCCTTGTTTCGTCTTAAAGACGAGGCGGGCGGGATGTTGGAACGACTCCGTCGATCTCTGTCGAATCAATAATATATCTCCCGATTGGAGCTCATGGAATGCTCCGATTTGCGAATAACAACAAACGAGTTTTTACGCGCACCGCGATGGGTCGAGGACGCTTTCACACTCTAGGTGGATCGAGTAGCTTGGGGTAGGGGAGAGTCCTCGCATTCCATCGCGCGGCTTTGCGATGAGTCTAACGATTATTCCGCGATGAAACGGAACTGCTACCCGGCGACAATCTATCACTTAATTTATATTCAACCAACAATAAATAATAATACGGTGAATTCAAGTGAGTGATATTGTACCTGTTCGATTCCCTTCAAGTAACATTTCTTCACGGAGT